TTGGTGATGGAAACGATGATGGAAAAAAAGAGAACGGTTGTAAGAAGAAGTATAAGCGGCAATTAAGAAGACCAAGGAAAAGAGACACTTGGCAAAAGGAAGAGATAATAGAGAAAATTAGTGAATATCTTTTGATACCATATTGATGTGGAAATTAAAATAAACTTTGATATATCTTAAATGAATATACATAATGGATTTTAAATATAAATAACAGTAACCAATTAGTCTAAAAGGTTGGAAACAAACTACCTATTCTCAAACTGAGAGAATAAAAAGATAAAATAAGAATAATAATAATATCATAATACATGCATATTTAAGAATTCTCTTCATGTTAAAAAAGTGTCCATTTTTTATTATATTTCTCTCTCACTCCAACTCTTCTCTCATCACCGTCTCACTTTTTTTAGATATAAACTCAGTCATTTTATTTCAAGTTTTCGCAATCCAAACAACAGGGCAACTGCATCATGGTTTCTCACTTTTTTTCAAATAACACACATTCTGAATAACCATAATACACTTCTTACTCTCACACATGAAATTATATCCATTTCAATATGTTTGGTGCGCTGATGTTGAACAGGATTGTCGGAAAGAAAAATCGCGTTGATGTTGTCATAATATACCATAGTAGCTTTTGTGACAGGACAACATAGTTCCAAGAGTAAGTTGTGTAACCAACATGATTCAGACACAACATTAGCTACACCTCTGTATTCGGCTTCGGCACTTGAACGGGACAAGATATGTTGGCGTTTTGCGGACCATGAGATCAAGTTGTCACCGAGATAAACACAATAGCTAGAGGTATATCTTCTTGTGTGTGGACAACCGGCCCAATCTGCGTTTGTGCAAGAAATGAGCTTGTCGACGGATGAAGGGTACAGATGGAGGCCGAAATCTATGGTACCATTAATATATTGAATAATGTGTTTCAAGGCAGACATGTGTTGAGTTTTTGGATCATGCATAAATAAACACACCTGTTAAACCGCATATGAGACGTCTGTTCGAGTGAATGCAAGTATTGCAAGGCTACGATATTCGGTTGGATCATAGTAAGGGTTACCGGATGAACCACTGAGTTTTGTCTTTGTGTCTACTGGTGTGTAGGATGGTTTGCAAGAGGACATATCGGCTCGTTCGATAATTTCTTTTGCATATTTTTTGAGAAAGAAAAAGGCCTTCGGGATGTCGGGTGACAAATACCCAGAAAATAACTTAGAGGCCCCAGATCATTCATGGAGAATTCGGAACTCAGTTGTGCCATAATAGATTCTCTAAGAGTGTCAGATGATGCAGCAAGAATAATGTCATCCACGTACAAAAGAATATAAGATATGTCATTGCCATGATGATATATAAAAAGAGAGTGGTCAGAAATATTGTGAGAGAAATCCATTGTAGCTACATAATCAGTAAAGTGATGGTACCAGGTGTGAGGTGCTTGTTTGAGACCATATAGAGATTTCTTCAATAAACAGACATGATCAGGAAATTGAGAACTATGAAATTCAGGAGGTTAATGCATGGATACGGTTTCATGAAGGTTCCCATGCAAAAAAACATTTTAAACATCTAATTAATGAAGACACCATGATTTAGATAAAGCAACACTTAGAACCGCTTAAATGGTAGCCGGTTTGACCATCGGGCTGAATGTGTCACCACAGTCAACACTCATTTGTTGATTTGCACCATTATATATAAGGCGAGCTTTGTATCTCTCAAAGGATCCGTTAGATTTCTTTTTATGCCTGAAAATCCATAAATTTTGAATAACATTAGCATTAGACGAATGAGGAACTAAGTCCACGTCTTATTTTCAATAAGAGCATCATATTCGTCTTTCATGGTCATTTTCCAATTTTGATCATTTAATGAATCAATGGAATTTGTAGGTAGAGGGAATATAGAGGTTGAGGTTGACGTATGAAGATTGAATAGTTCGTGAGGTTTGACAATAACGTATTGGACTCTGGTTGTCATTTGAGGGGAGAGGGGCGGTTTTTATTGTGAAGGTGGAGGAGTTGTAAGTGATGTAGTGGATGGGGATGAGACGATAGTTGATAATGATGGATTTGGAGGTGATGTTGCGGATGGGGCTGATGTTATGGTTGGTGAGGTGTGACTGTGGGATGGTGACGGAGGCGAATTAAAAGAAGACGGAAATGGTTGGTAAATATTTGTTTGAACTGGTGTAGTTAGAGGTGGAGTACGATTTTGATGGTTAGAGGGTGGAGTACTATAGGAATAGGATGGAAGGAAGGGTGTGTCTTCATCCAAAAAATTATAGACAACCGTTGTAGGAACCTTTAGATTAGAAAATGGAAGCTTAGTTTCACCAAAAATGACATGCAGGAAAATAAATATTTTACGGCTAGATAAATCATAGCATTTGTATCCTCTATAATTTGAGGGATATCCTAAGAAGACAGAAGGTGTGGACCGAGCTTTTAACTTATTCTTATATGATGAAGGGGTGAGAGAATAGAAAAGACATCCAAAAACATGAAGGTGAGTATAGGCTGGATCTTTTTGGTAGAGTATTTTAGTGGGTGATTGGAGGAAAAACTTTTTATTTGGAAGGATATTATGTAGGTAAGTGGTCATGTGTAGTGCATGATGCCACATTGATGGAGGTAAGGAGGCATTGGCAAGAAGGGTGTGAATGACATTGTTTATGGTACGAATTTTTCTTTCGACTTTTCCATTTTGTCAGGAGGTGTGAGGACACGAAAATCTAAAAGACATTGCATTGTTTTTACAAAATTTAGGAAACATAGTGTTATCATATTCTTTACCGTTGTCACATTGGAAACATTTAATTTTTCTTTCAAATTGTGTTTCAATGTGAGTTCTAAATTGAAGAAAAATGGAATGAACCTGAGATTTTGTATGAATGGGAAAAGTCCATAAAAAATTTGTGTAATCGTCAAGAAATAACATATAGTAACGATGACCTTCTGAACTAAGAATTGGTGAAGTCTAGAGGTCACTGTGCACAATATCAAAAGGCATAAAAGTATGAGACACAGAACTATAAAAATGAAATTTTATTTGTTTTCCAAGAGGGCATGAATTAAAAAAGTAATTATTCTGAGACTTATTACATTGGAGAAAGTTGTCTCGATGTAGAGAACTTAAGATAGTAATTCCTGGATGTCCTAAACGGTTGTGTCATAATTCCGTGGATAATGCGACAAAGGTGGATGGTGGAAAGGTTTTACTATGTGGTCTTGTGGCAATGGGATAGAGGTCACCAGAACTGTTACATCTTATTATCAGTATTTATGTCTGAAAATCCTTCCCAAAAAAACCAAAAGGATCAAATTCAACTGACACATCATTATCTATGGTAAATTTATGAACAAATATAAGATTTTTTTATGAGTTTTGGTGCATGTAAAATATTAGATAATTTTAGAGGATGGAGGGAATTTGGTAATGATGCATGTCCACAATAAATTACAGGAATATTTTGACTACTATCGACAGTAATATTATTACTCATATTGAAATAGGACGTGAGATTACCTCTGTTGACCGTCATATGCGAGGTTGCTCCGGTGTCCATGTACCACTGATCATCAGGAGTAGAAAGTGAGAGAGCATGCATGGCGGCTTGAATATTTGTTGGAGCATATGAGGAGGTTGGCGTTGCATTGGCGGCATAATCTTGGTGAGATGGCTTGGGACCAAGGATATCGGGTTGTTCCTTTGGATTTCTTGTTGTTGGATACAGATAAGGTGATGTAGCCCATGGTTGCCATGGCGGAGAGCTCCACTATTGATATTGATTTGGGTACGGCGGATAAGCCCACTACTGATGCGTGTAATATGGTGAAGGTCATTGTTGTTGCGGAGCACGACCTCTGCCACGTCCATTGTTTCGCCCTCAGCCTCGTCCACGTTGCCCTCTGCCATTGCTTCGGCCAGCACGATTGTGGTTTCCGTTGTTGCCGCGATTAGGACGGGATGTCGATGAATCAACTGTTGCATCATTGTGAGACGCCATGAAAGATGAATTTTCGACTGAGCTTGACACTTTTTCTGCAGTGTTGTTTCTTCCAAAATGATCATGGAACGAGCTTTATAGAACTGAGGAAATGAATCAGCATGACGAATTTGAGATCCCACAATAGCATATGCATCGGTTAGTCCCAAAATGAGTTGAAGAACTAAACGTTCATTCGATACATGGGCACCAACATTAGCTAGTTGATCAGAGAGAAACTTGAGATGGTGACAGTAGAAGGAAGCATCAAAGAATTGCTCTATATGAGTTCGCAAAAATTCTTGCTCTAGGTAGAGAGCCCTAGAATTCTTGTTATCAAGGATGTCGAATAAGCAATTCCACGCGATTTCAGTGGTGGAGTTATGTTCGAAGATAATGTTGAGAAGATCATCGGAGCTTGTTCCATATACCCACTGCAAAACGACGGCGTCGAGACGAAGCCATAAATGTGGATAGATAGTTTTGAGAAAGGGATATGCGGCTGGTTCAGAGGGAATGATATGGTCAATCACTTGAAAAACTCGAGCATGAATTTTGAAAAGTTCTGGCCACGTGTTATACGTGTCCTTTTCAATGCTCAGAGTAATCTTGATGAAATTAGTAATATTTGGGACAGTGAGAGCAGGTGAGTCGGCATAGGAGTGGGAGGTGGAGGAGGGTCAGTATGACCGGTAGAGTGTGAGGAAAAGTTGTCGTTGGAGGAATCAGTAGTGGTAATTATGGTTGTTTCGCGGTAGTCTAAGAGAAAAATAATGAAAGATAAGAAGAAAGAAGGTTGACGGCTGGTTTTAGGGTTTGAGATCAAACCAAGTGTGATACCATGTAAGATAATTTAGGTTATGCCTTTTCATTTGTAATCATTTGTAATCAATACTAATAATAATCTTTCTATATTTATATGTCTAATATTACTGACTTTCAAACTATTTGGACAATATATTGAAGCTGGAAAATTATTGAAGAACCAATTGGATCAATGTACAAACCAACAGCATCTGAAGTTTTAATTCTCCTGCTTCTGTTATGTGTATCTGCAACTGCTAATGGATTTCCAAAATGCAACTGTGATGATGAAACAAGCTGGTGGACTATTGACAACATTCTAGAATGCCAGAAAATCGGGGATTTCTTAATCGCCATTGCGTATTTCTCGATCCCTGTCGAGCTTCTCTATTTCATTAGTTGCTCAAATATTCCATTCAAATGGGTTCTTTTTCAGTTCCTTGCATTCATAGTCCTTTGTGGAATGACACATTTGTTTAACAGTTGGACTTATGGACCCCACACTTTTCAAACCGTTGTGACACTAACGGTCTTAAAAGTCCTTACTGCAATGGTTTCATTGGCAACTGCCATAACATTGATTACTTTGATCCCTTTGCTTCTTAAAGTGAAGGTTCGAGAGTTTTTGCTCAAGCGTAAGACAAGGGAGCTTGGAATCGAGGTTGGTATGATCACGAAACAGAATGAAGCTGGAATGCATGTGAGAATGCTTACTCAAGAGATTCGAAAATCGCTCGATAGACATAAGATTTTGTATACTACTTTGGTTGAAATGTCGAAAACTTTAGGGTTGCAGAATTGTGCTGTGTGGATGCCTAATGTTGATAAAACCGAAATGAACCTCACTCATGAGTTGAACGGGAGGAATGTTAACTCTTCTATACCGATTACTGATTCGGATGTTGCAAGAGTTAAGGGAGATAATGTGAGAATGAAGCTGGAATGCATGTGAGAATGCTTACTCAAGAGATTCGCAAATCGCTCGATAGGCATAAGATTTTATATACTCAAACTGAATCTTATGATAGCTCAAACATGTATGAAAAAGTATGTTCATAAAAAGAGACGATTTTAGAGTTGAAAATTGGAGAAACAATGTTGATCCAGAGACCATAGACTTGAAACCAGATTACAAAAGGCACATAAAAAATAAGAAACATAACCCTAGACATAAGACATCTACATGTATCTAAATAAACCCTTGCAATAAAATTTATGCCCTTTCACCTCTAATTCTGCGAGCAAGTTGAATATCCTTAGGCATGATAGTAACTCTCTTGGCATGAATAGCACAAAGGTTAGTATCTTCAAACAAACCAACTAGATATGCTTCTGCTGCTTCTTGAAGTGCAGAAACAGCGCTGCTCTGGAATCGTAGATCTGTTTTGAAATCTTGAGCGATTTCTCTAACCAATCTTTGGAATGGAAGCTTCCTGATAAGAAGCTCCGTGCTCTTCTGATACTTCCTGATCTCTCTCAGAGCAACAGTTCCTGGACGGAATCTGTGTGGCTTCTTCACACCTCCGGTCGCCGGAGCAGATTTCCGGGCGGCTTTTGTGGCGAGTTGCTTCCTTGGAGCCTTGCCTCCGGTGGACTTGCGAGCGGTTTGTTTGGTACGTGCCATTTCGAACGGAATGAAAACGGAGAGAAAGTGTTTGGGTAATATATAGTGAATGAGGGAAAAGCGGGAATTGTGAGTTTTGAGAAGATAAAATATGGAGATAGTAACCGTTGATTAGAGGAAACATCTACGGCTGTGAGTCTCTAGAAAAACCTTATAGAGATCGCTATCCGTGTCACGAGACTGTAACCAATGGGATTGTTTGAGTCTATGGAGAAACGTTATATTTGAGTATTTATTTGAAAAAGATGGTTATTTGGATAAAAATCCTCACTTTTACATCTTGGAACTCACATAAATATTTTTGAATTAAATTAAAGTATAATAATAATATAAGTATTAATTAATCTAAAAGTTATAACTTAAATTTAAAGTTATTTTTTTATTTATAATAGTAAACAGGGGAGTATGTATTTATAACATTGGATTCCATAGAAAGTGTTGGCATTCATCTTTATATTAACGGTGTGGTTGTTTTAGATAATTTTGTGAAGAGTGATTTTGTTAATTTGATTTTAGTCTAATTTTGATTTTTGTTAGACTAGATATATGGTCTTTTTCATATTTTGGACATGATAATGTTTAATATCATAGAATGGTTTACTTAAAGGATTTGTAAGCATGACATATACTCTTATGACAATATTTAATATGAATTTTAGTCTTAATTTTTATGATTTTTGTTGGATCAAATATAAATTTCCTGTGTTCTCTTAGGCACTTCAAATCTTAATAGTTGAGATCAACTGAGTTTTAATATACTCTATTGCTTGTCAGTTGAGATAAATAGAGTAATTAATAAACTCAAATGAACTTAATTCTTATTCAATAAGATTGACCTTTATTAATTTGTTAAAGAACAAATATTTTAGTAATATTAATAATTATTCAATTTCTTTCTAAAAGATAAAAATATCCTTTAAGATATTTTTCTCTCTTATATGCTTACCAACAACTCCTTTTCCTATTGTTAGTAAGGAGAAAAATAGAAAGAGGTAAATAAAAAGAAATAGTAAAAAGAATAGAAAAGCTTGGGACAAGAGAAGAAGAAGCTTGGATCATCATTATTTCATCTCAAATCTCTCACCATCTTCATCTATTAAGGTGGGTTTTAGATAGTTTAATTTTTAGGAGAAGAAATTTTATGGATTGGGAACTTAGAATTTTCATGTTTTACTTTAATCATGAAAATAAGAAATGATATATGTCTTACTTGAGTTCTCTTACTTGTTTGTGCTCATACATGCTTGCTTGTGATGATTCATGTTGGTTAATGTTTTATTGGTGTAGCAAGGTGTAAATTATGGTTGGGTTTGCTTCTTTTTCCTCCTGCTATGTTTCCTCACATGTGTTGTTATGCGCCTTGCTAAGCGATAGAACAGCTCACTAAGCGAATGTAGTAGGAAAAGATGTCAAAGCTATTATGTCATTCTCGCTAGGTGAGAATAGGTTTCGCTAAGCGAGACAATGAGAATCTTGTGAGAACTTCATTTTTTGATTGCTCACTGAGTGCTCGTCAGGTCTTGCTAAGCGAGAAAGGAAAACTTCCTAGAATTTAGCTTTTGTCCCACCTCACTAGGAGCTCGCTAAGCGAAGGTTCTATTATGTTGAAAAATGTTTTTAGTTCTTGTTTCTACCACAAAACAAGAATCGTAACTCTAATTGATACGAGACTTGAAGCATTGGAAATCTATTCCAATGGGCTATCATATGGTAATAAGAAACCACAATTTAAACCAATGATAATTGGTGGATGGCGATGAATTGTCATGTGGATTTGATGAGCCATTATGTATTCTTATAAATTATGTTATGCTTTACTTATTTGCGTCGAATATGTAATAATATCATTAAACCCTTATGATAATGAGTGAGTAAAACCTAGGAGAATAGTCAGGTGAATGAATACGTAAAGTAACTAGGTTATGATAAATAACTTAGATGGCGATATTCATACACGAAGGTACCTCGGTGTGTACCATGGACGAGTAGTCGCTAGAATTATAGCCTAGTCACGAACTAATATGCTTTGTATAGAACATGATTAGATGTTATGAAAATTAGTGAATATGATCACATGGTGATTAGCGAGTACAATCATGTTGTGATTGATGAACTAATCATGTATTCGGAAACAACGCCTTTGTTGTGTCGTTCCCAAATTGTGATGCTTATGAAAAGTAAGAATTGGGATACATGCATTATTGCTTCGCATCAACCAAATGGGTTAGAGTCTCATAGTTCAACCAAATGGGTAGAGTCTCATAGTTCAACCAAATGGGTTGGAGTCCCATATAAGAAGTGGAACTAAAAGTGGGTTAGAGTCTCATACTAGGGAAAAGCTCGAAATAGGTTTATGTCCCATGGAGAATTCAAAATCCACAAGAAAGTCGAAGAATGATACAAGGATTTGTGACATGTGTCGATAATCCTAAACGTAGGCGATGGGCTATTTCTGCAAGTATACAGAGTCTATCAAAGTAATATAAAGAGTGTCAAACTCACAAATACCAGATGGTCAATCTATCGTTTTCTATTGCTACCGTGTTTATCCAAGGCGATCAAAAATTAGGAGTGGAAGGGGAAAATAAAATGAAATAATAAACTTAAAGTAATTTAGAAATGCAATGTTGTAATGTGGATCTCATCAATTTGTTGATACTCTTATTGTTCCTAAATTTAACTACCTATGGGACAATGTTTTCTTCTTTGAAAAAGAACTTCATTAAAAAGGAATCATCGTTGTTGCGTAATCGGAACCATATTTTACTCTCTAATTTATATTGTCCGCTCTCGCGTGCCCGACGCACAATTCTCTAAAGAAGTAAAGACCTTTTTAGAAATTAGTTTCTTTTACTTAGACGAAAAGTAGTTTTGATTGGAAAATTAGACTTTAAAGGGTTCCTGGCTTTCGCACGGCTAACTGGATCATAAACTTATAAACGTGTTTGAAAATATATTTAAAACCACTTTCTGAAAACATCAAACTTTTCTAATTAATTAATAAAGTGATTTTGCGGTGTTCATTAATAAAAAACTAAACAAATTTAATCTTTTGTGTCTGATGACTTTCGATCTTACCTGGTATATTCATGGTTATACTCTCATAGTAACCGATCAAATTAAGTTTAGAAAAATTGTAATAAAATCAAAACATCCCCATGACTATTTCTAAAATAACAACAATTAGAGTATCGTCAAATCGATAGTCCTCACATTCCAACATTATAGATTTAGGCGGACATAGTTATAACAAATGCTAAAATAATTGATTTAGACATGGAATTAAGCATAATAGGCATATAAAATAAAGCTTGAAACATGCAATTGATAGATATAACATTAAAGTAAAACAAAAACATGCATATAAGTAAAGAGACGATATAATAAAAGCAATGTGCTTAATAAAAACATGCTCTAATGGAGACTTGAATCTGGTACAAAGTAAATTGCTGGAAAACTTGAAAGGGAATGTAAATGACGAAAAGATTAAACTTCAACAAAGTAAATGCTTCAATACTCTAAAACTGCTATAAATAAAGTTGCTCCAAGCTCGGTACAAGAACAACTGCAATAACCCTCCAATGTGAAGTGTTAGAGCTTTTAGACCGTGAAGTATATAGCTTACAATGAACTAAGCTTGGATACCTTGTAAAATAAGGTAAAACTAGTATTTATAGAGTTCTAAAACCCTAAATGATAAAGTCAAGATTAATGGGGTTGTGTAAAAGAAGTTTAGAAGGAGTGGGAGAACATGCTAAGGAAGTTGGCATTTATGCGCATTTATAAGGGGTGGCGAATGCCATCCCCTTATGGCGAATTCCACACTTGAATTTTCCCTTTGACTTGTTCTTTAGCCCTTTTGAACGTGGTCATGACTTTCCACGTCACGGCTGCCTCTAAGGCACATGCCATGATGAACGTCATGAGTGCAAATTGTGCATTTTCCTTTGTTTTTAGTCTGATTCGTCTCCTTTCTTCGCGTACGACTCCTGCATGATCAAATACCTAAAACACAGACAAAATACCAACATAACACTATAAATAGAGGTGAAATAACTAATAAAACATGTGCAAATCGAGTCAAATACAATGTGTTTTAGCGTTATCAATAGGGTTGTGTTGTACCCCAATTTCTATCCCTAAGATTCCTATATCATCTCATATCAACTCAATTACAACAAGATCACACTAGGATTTGGTTCTCCTCCCTATCTTTAAGTTTGCTCATGATAAATCACTAAGCACCTTGACTTATATATTGTGATCATCTATGTTTTTTTATTAACTTTTAACTAATGAATACTATGAATGTTTTCTCTAGTTGATGA